AGTCTTCAACAAAAGAACCATGATCACTGAAGAGTCAATACATGTCATTTTTGATGAAAAACATGTGATTGACAAACCATCAAAACATGATCATGAGGTTCTGGATTTATCAGACAAGGATGAAGAAGTCAATAAAGAAGATAGAATGAAGCCCACGGAATTCATTCCATTCAGAAGTCTGTCTCTGAAGATTTCACAGAGAAATCCGGATTCAGACGGTGCTGAGCCCTCCGGAAATTTTGGCCAGCCTTCCAATATTTCGGATATCTCAAACGGCGACAATTCCGGAAATGGCGACCCAGTGCCAATCCATCCAGAAACACCAACAACTTCTGTTCTTCAACCAAAAGCTGAACTAGATCAACCAGTCAATCCCAATCAACACAATCTTCGTTGGTTAAGGGATCATCCTTCTCAACAGATCATTGGAGATATTCAATCTGGTGTTCGCACAAGTAGTGCCCAACAGAATCTAGAAGCTATGCTTGCTTGTTTCATCTCACAAGTGGAACCAAAGAATATTGAAGAACCTCTAGCTGATTCTGATTGGATCAATGCAATGCAAGAAGAACTCAACCAGTTTTCCAGAAATGATGTCTGGAAACTTGTTCCCAGACCTACTCATCAACATGTCATTGGGACAAAGTGGGTCTTCCGGAACAAAATGGATGAAAACGGCGTTGTTGTCAGAAACAAGGCCCGGTTAGTTGCTAAAGGATATTGTCAAGAAGAAGGTATAGATTTTGATGAAACCTTCGCTCCAGTTGCTAGACTTGAAGCTGTAAGGCTGTTTCTAGCCTTTGCTACTCACAAGGACTTCAAAGTCTATCAAATGGATGTCAAAAGCGCATTTCTCAACGGAAACCTAGAGGAAGAAGTGTATGTAGAACAGCCTCCAGGATTTGAGTTACACACTAAGGGAGATCAGGTGTATAAACTCAAGAAGGCGCTATATGGACTCAAACAAGCACCAAGAGCTTGGTATGATACATTGTCTCAATTTCTCATAGACAATGGATTTACCAAAGGAGTAATTGACAAGACATTATTCAAGCTACAAGATGGAGAAGATCTCCTATTAGTTCAGATCTATGTGGACGATATCATATTTGGCTCAACGAAGGAAGATCTATGCACCAAGTTTTCAACCCTCATGAAAGGAAAATTTGAAATGAGCATGATGGGGGAACTCAACTACTTCCTTGGCCTTCAAATCAAACAGAGAAGTGAAGGCACTCTCATCAATCAAGCTAAATATACAAGGGATCTTATCAAGAAGTTCAATGTTGATCAGAAGTCATCCGTTTCTGTCCCCATGAGCACATCCACCAAACTTGATATGGATGTAGATGGAAAGGATGTAGATCAAACTCTCTACAGAGGGATTGTCGGATCTCTACT